AAAGCTAGACTCGCCTGAAGCGCGATTTGTGTAAACTTGTATCTTTAAAAAGTCCCACGGTCAAGCCTGGCAGTAATAAACAAGATTAATCAATAAACGTGTTCTGCGAACACTGGGTGGCATGGTGACGCACAGCCAGACTCAGCTGGGTTCCAGTGAGCTGGAGAGCCTGTCTGTGTGGAGTCTGCATGTTCAGGTATCCTTGTTCTTTCCCTCCTCCGTGAGGAGCAGGGGCAAGGGGTTTCTGGGGGTCCCTAGCTGGGGGGAACCAGCCGTGTGTCTGGCGAGCTGATGGACTTGCAGCTGGCAGAGCCCCCCAGCGCCACACCCCGTCCAGCCCTGAGCTCCAGACCGGCACCAACAACCCCAAACGACTTGTACTAAAACTCATTAAAAACCCATAATACTATCTGGAAAGAAGGTGAGCACCTCCACTGGCTCCGTCTGGGGTCCCTGTGAGCTGCTGCCAGTCCGAGCAGCAGTGGCGCCTGTGCGTGTGGGCGTGTCCGTGCAGGCTGCCCCTCCCACACTCCACACAGAACAGCTGAGACAGCGCACAGCGTCTGCGATGGGAGGCTCTGCTTCCACACTGTCACCCCCAGCCTACATTTTCACGGTTTCATCCTTAGCTGAACAGCCTGGGCTGTGACTCCGCTCACAGGCGCTTGGCAATTTAAGAGCCAGGGTGCCCACCGTGATGCCCCCGCAACGTCACACTGAGGGCACAGACTCCGCGCTGGGTAACTGCACTGGTCCAGGGTACACAGGGGTGCAGCACAGCAGAGCAGGGGCAGGGCAACACCTCCCTGGTAAACACTCTACTGTGGCTACAGCTGCTCCTGGAGCGGGCTGCACCTGCGCAGGCACAGCTAGGAGCTGCTCCAGGAGCAGGCTGCTCAGGGCTGCAGCTGCGCATTCACAGCTGAGAGCTGCTCCAGTAGCAGGCTGCACCTGCGCAGGCACAGCTGGGAGCTGCTCCAGTAGCAGGCTGCACCTGCGCAGGCACAGCTGAGAGCTGCTCCAGTAGCAGGCTGCACCTGTGCAGGCACAGCTGGGAGCTGCTCCAGGAGCAGGCTGCTCAGGGCAAGAGCTCCGATCAGCCCCCATGTCCCCGAGCCGCCCTCCCAGCAGCCCAGGTCTGCACATCGCAGTGCGAGAGCAGGGAAGAGCCCCTCACTCCCCCTTCAGACTCGCAACAAAGCCTCTGTAATATATATCTGTATAGAACAACACTATGCTACATAGAAAATCTCCACCTAATATCGAAGACTAACTGTACCAGCCTCTAAAACCGAAAGGGGGAGTATGTACACAGGGCTGAGGGTGTATTAACAAGTACAATATTACAAAATCTTCAAGAAGGCATCTCTGATACTCTGGGGCACAGGGCCTCCCTGTCCCTGCCAGTCTCTCTGCCAGTCCGAGCTGCAGCACTTGCGCCCGGCTCTACTTGAAGTTGGCGTAGTCGGAGAAGGCGTCGATGTACTCCTGGACCACCTTGTAACAGAACTCGTACTGCTCCTGCGGGGGAAACGGAAATGGGACACGTATCACAACACTGGCGCCCCCTGGTGGCCATCGGCCGCAACAGCAACAATACACTCCTGCCTCCGATAATCTGCCAATGAGATGGAGAGCAGGGGGAAGAGACAGCAGATGGATGAGAGACAGGGAGAGACGACGAGGGCCGTGGTTTACCAGTGTCTGCACCATGTGTGGTCTCTGTAGCCTCAGGCTCTTCACTGTCTGAAACACGTCCAGGATGCCCTCGGCCTTCACCCG